TCTCTCTCTCTCTCTCTCTCTCTCTCTCTCTCTCTCTCTCTCTCTCTCTCTCTCTCTCTCTCTCTCGGCTAGCCACGTGGCGGGCCATTTTCCTTTCGTTTTTTTCATACAAGATGGCTATGGCGGGATCTTTGTCACGTTGTTTGCGGACGACGAGCGGGAGGAGGAGCGGGAGGAGCGGGAGGAACGGGAGGAGGGATGGGAAAAGGAGCGGGAAAAGGAGGAGTGGGAGGAGGAGCGGGAGCAGCGGGAGAAGGAGCACGAGGAGAAAAGGGAGGAGCAGCAGGAGAACGAGCGGGAGCGGGGCTATGGCGGGATCTTTGTCACGTTGTTTGGCGGAGGAGCGGGAGGCGGAGGAGGAGGAGGAGGAGGAGGAGGAGTGGGAGGAGCGGGAGAAGGAGCGAGAGGAGGCGTGGGAGGAGCAGGGAAGGAGCGGGAGCGGGGCTATGGTGCGGGAAGAGGAGCAGGAGGAGGGGGAGGAGGAACGGGGGGAAAAGCAAGAGAAGCAATCGAAGGAGGACGAGCAGCAGGAGGAGCGGGAGGAGCAGCAACAGAGGGAGCGGGAGAAGGAGAGGGAGGAGGAGTGGGAGAAGGAGAGGGAGGAGGAGCGGGAGAAGGAGCGGGAGCGGGGGTATGGCGGGATCTTTGTCATGTTGTTTGGTGGAGGAGCGGGAGGAGGAGCGGGAGGAGGAGTGGGAGGAGGGGGAGAAGGAGGGGGAGGGGATTGGGGATGGGGTTGCATCTCACAGCCGCTTGCTCCATACTCTCCTTCTCATTTTGCACATTCCAAGGCTGCTCAGTTCGAGCTGTTTGGGATCCTGAACTGTGCAATCGGATTTTCGAATACATATATATATGCCTTTTTCCTTTCGGTTTTTGCCTGCTGTCCTGTGCAACTCTGATTGATTTCCCTGCTCTCAAGTATGGTGCTGTTGTCTCTGTGCGACTCCCAATATGTCTTCCCGCGACCGCTACAACTCCATGTGCCTTTTTTCACAATCAAACATAAATGCTCTTTTTTTCAATCGCGCGCGCTTGCATGAATCTTCCACTAGGACATGGAAATACACCTACTACACGTGTGCGTATGTGTGTGTGTGTGTG